TTATTCTGAAATAAGCCCGAGAGGTTAGCTATCATGAATGGAGAACACTCACAACGAATGAATAAGATTAATGTGTATGCAAGAAGCAATTCTAGCGGAAAAAATGGAAGAAGTGGCAGACGATGCAAAAAAGTTTAGCAGGATTTAGAAAAAAAAAGAGAAGTTGAAAGACAAACTCTGCATTTAAGTTGACATATTTGGAAGTAGCATTGTTTATTGAGTTGATGGTATTGATGTATGTTTGAAGCGCTCAAATGAAGATTCGACAAATATTTCTTTTCGGCTGAACTCAAATGATACTTTTTTGATGCTTTTCGACAGAGTTTATTACAGCCATTATGCGCTCCGTGACTCGTCTTACTGAAAACACCGAACAACTATAAATTTGACTGCAATTTATTTTTCGCACATTCATCCACTCTCAGTTCTCAAATATGCGAAGAAAACTGATCGTTGAGTTGCAGTAACGCTTTCTGCTGGCCAATTCGGACACGTCTTAAAATTTTGAATGGCCAAATTCATATGCGATCATGTGCGATTTTATCAGTCAATGAAAACTTCTCAATTTTCTCAAAAGTAATCAGACAATTGGTTTCCATCGAGAAGCGATGATTTATGATGGATTTAACGAACTGCATCACATACTTGAGGCAGTCGAGTGAGTCTTCGAATTGCTTTCTTCTGAATAGACAAATGTGCACATCGGTTGTCCACGGAATACTCTGTCGTTGCAAATGACACTGCTCCTCCCAACACTTCACTTTCTCTTTGGTGATTCGACAGAACGTTGTGAAATTCTTCAAACTCGATGTAACACTACCGTCCAATGGAAATTCGTAAAAATCCTCATCGTAACTCTTTTGAAAATGCATCTGAAATGAACGCGTCTTGCTAAAATTTGAGAAATCGCCTCATCGGTTTATTGGCCATCCATGTCGTATTAGTTGATCTTTTTGAAGTTTCATAGCGAAATCTGGTTCGGTCAAGACTCCTTGATTTTGTCATATAAGTGTTGCATTCATAATCAATCGAAAGCACTGAGTTGAGAACGAATACGTCCCTAATCATGATAAGAAAGACCGAATACTACGGGGATTTCAATGAAATTATC